CAACCCTTTTTTCTATAATGTAATACCATAGTAATAAGAACGCAAACGTCAGAGCAGAGTGGAATAATGACCAGAACACCAGGTAGGCCTATTATAATACCTAGCAGTAGCGTATCTAGGGGATGTGAACGGTTTCCCCTCCCTAAAAAAGCTTACCGTACCTCTCACTCCCCACTGGAAAAGTTCAAGGAAAAAAAATCACCTTATTTTTTGTGTAACTAGTTCTTCCTCACCTAATCATCCACCCCTCCCCAACCTCCATTTCCAAGACTCGTACGCCACTGATATCTACATTGTTAGAGCGTGGTGCTATAAAAAAGAGAAATAACGAAAATAGAACCAAACTAAGATCAGAGAGTAGAGCGTAGGGCAATTAGAGGTTAAGTTGGATCGTTCAAGCGAGTAAAATTTAGAGAAAAAGTGGTTGGGAATATTAAAAATAAACCGGTCATCATCTTGTTGTAATTTACCGCTTTGAAAAAACACAAACATGGTTGACCCTTCACATTTGAACAATAACGTTTCCAAATTTCACACGCTGTCAGAATTATAACTATAGAGGCTGTCTTCGGAAGTGACGTCATAATTTATTTTAAGTCACATTCATCCTTCTATAGTTGTTGAAAAAGTAATCATCCTGAGCTGTCCTTCCTCAATTGGAATTGATGCGGCTCGTAATCACCATGCACCTGGACCAGCACTCTGCGCCTACCGATAGATTTTACGTCAGGCTGTGGGGGAGGAAAATACTTTTTTTGCCATGTTGTAGACCTACAACTGCTTTTTTTTTTTCTTGACGAAAAATGTCAGGAACAGTTAACGAGATGCAGATTTTTGAATATTTAGAAACTGAGAGGAAAGGAGACGTGACAACAACTTTTCCATCTTTTCCTTTATTTTTAACATGTTAAAAAATCTGTAACTCATTAAACGTTCTCGAGTGTTTCGTCAAACACCCTATTGTGTCTTTGAAAATCAATAATATATAACGTCAAGTTCGACTATGACGTCATATGAGAGACCGTCTTGAAAGATAAAGGTAGCTAGGTAGGTATTTCATCTTTCTTTAATTAAATCTCATTTACCTGTCAGAAGTGTGATTAAAGGTCAACTGTAGGACCTAGGCATACTACAATAATCTACAAATATTTAAGTTACCGTATTGTTTGTTTAATCTTTCACATAATTTCGTTGTTACTCCTATTTCTCATCTAAACTATACTAACCCGCCGCTGCAGTAGGCCTAAACATCCGATTACCTATTATCCAGTTGACTTTTTTTATAACCATAATGTGTTTTGAATGTTGTGCTATGATTTTGGTTCTATTATTTTTCAGTTTTAGGCACAAAAACATAACAAACATTGAACTTAGTCAATTTTCTAAGTGGCATACCACTTAGTCACTTTTGTAAGTGGCTACCACTTCGCATGACATACGCCCAAAACGCTCTTCATATGAGGCTTAGGGCGTGGAGTAAATGGGACAAAAAAAGTTCGTTCGAAACTGATGACGGATATTTTGGCTTACGGAGACGAGCTGCTGATTGTGTAACAAAGTGTTAATATTTGCGACATTTCAGATTTTAACGACATGTTTTACTGTAAAATGAACTCGGTTAAATCTAAATAGGCCTAACAGAAAAATAAACTAAAATATGACGTAATAAATACGGTAGTTTTGGTAATATCAATTACACCGTGAAGGTATAATTACACAAGAATATTCCAAAACTTTCGGCAATGACACACGAATCTCCTCCCATGGTTTAAATGATATCCAAAAAATTGACACGATTCCTGGACGAACTGCTCTGTCAAACTTTCTCTGAAGATGTACTCTCTCATGAGCTTTACAAAAGTGAAAAATTCTATAATTTAGTTGCTTAATTTGTATATTAAATGTAAGTTATCAGGAAGTGAATAAAATAATGAAAAATGTATCCGAAACTTCCAATATTATCATCATCATCATCCTCATTTCGGATGCATGAGGGTCTCCGTTTATTTCTGTAGATCACCGACCCAACTAATAGAAATTAACATAATTATTTTCCTAACTGTAGTAATGGTGAAACGAAGAGCAGAAGATAACTAAAGATTTCCTAATTACAACAAATAGGTCTAGGTTTACAAATCGAATACTACATTTAAAGCTTAAAGCATTAGACGCTTCCTTTTGGAAAATGAGTAAAATAACGATTTAGCGGGTTTATACTTATTAAAGACTTCATTAAAATCAATTAATTCAAAACTAAATAATCAGGATCAGTAGCGATGTAAGAGGGAAGACAGTTGAAGGTCTTGTATAGGTGCATGGCCATAGGTAGGTGTGGTAAATGTTGTTAGATTAAAATTACATTGAAACATTGAAACTCAGACAAGAGGCAAAACAAAAGATAAAAATGAAAAAAAGGGGAAAACAACATTATTCAACATTATTATGGACGGTCGTGGTTCCTTTTTTTTTCTTCTTTGGGATTTCATTTCATGAATTAATACCTGCACATAGCCAATCAGGTCCGGAAACTTCACGATTAACGTTAGCAGGCTTAACCATCCTATATGGCTCTTAGTCTTAGGTCTATCTGTACGTAGTAGGCCTAAAACCATGAAATCCATTGTGCCAATAATGAACTGTACGTAATGCGCTGATGTAGTTTGAAGATAAAGTGTCTGCCATAAGCTAAAAAAAGTTTCAACTCCATATCTGAATGATTTGCTTAATTCTAATTCATATGTATGCAAGTGCTAGAAAAGAAGGAACAAGAAGGGAAAATGTATTAAAAATTAAAATAAAGGAAATAAATGAAGTAGAAAATCAAAATAAGTAAAATGAAAGAAAGAGAAAGTAAAGAAAGAAAATAAACGTAAAGGAAAAGACAGCAGGAAATGGAATGAAATAAAAAAGGTAAAGGAAAGAAAATATATTGAATATGTAAAAAAAAAAAAATCAGAAAGGTAATAAGTACAATGAAAACTTTTTTTAAAAATAAGAATAAAAGAAAATAAAGGAGAAAGAAAGAAAAAAATAGACATGGAAAAGGAAATGAAAGTAAGGAAGTTAATAAGGAAGGAAAAGAAAGGAAATATTTTAAAAAATAATAATAATTTAATAAATTCAATAGATGACGGAAATTTAATGTAATTTTCAAATGAATTATAAATCAAAAAATAAATCAAGTTATAATATTTACCGGTATATACTGTAGCAATTTATTTTCCTATTAGGTACCGTACCTATATCGTTAAATAATTTATCTCACTTCCGGCTGTAAAAGCGCATGGAGGTCTTTACATTATGCCCTATATATTTACAATTATTATTATTATTATTATTATTATTATTATTATTATTATTATTATTATTATTTATTAAAACTTGTAAACTGACTGGTAATCAATTTAACGAGTTTTTGTAGAAAAACATCTGTAAGTTAGCAAAATTACTTTTGCGATTTTGTTTCTGGAAGTTTCTGTTTGTTGTTGGAAGTTTATAACGCAATATGGCCTATTTTGATTTTAAATGAGCTAAAACGGGATTTGAACCAAAGATCCTGTGTTTACGGTCCAAACGTTTTGAGATAACCTTTTAGATATCGATAGGTCTAAAAGCACACGTGCACGGATCGCATTCAAGTTAAGAGTTAAATATTAAAACCCGGGCCTTTAATTTTATAGAATCTTTTCGTTTTAGGATGATAGGCCTATCACGGGATGATATTTTGATATGTGAATATTGCTCAATCGTATTCTATCTACCGTATCATGAACCAAATACGACGGCGCACACATTTCCCGTGACTAAAATAGTACTAATAGTTTATTCGTTGACCGAAGGACGGTATTAAAACACTTAATAAAGTTATATATCAAAGCTATAATTTTTTTTAATTTAAATTAAAAATCAGGCAGAATTTTAAACACTACGGTACTGTTTATTTTTGTATTTCATATACAAAAAAGAGAAATGCACAAGCCCTACAAAAGGTTCACAAACTTGTAAAAAGAACTACGGTACCGTAAATCAAGGTAATTCAGTTTTGATACCATAAATTTCTGTAGACTTATGAAATAAGAAGTTTAATTATATGTCCTGCTATATCAATGATATAAGGTATGGTACATGGGCACAGACATGTTTTTTTTTTTAGCAATATTGTCACATCATCGTTTAATACCCATACCTATTGTTGGAATTGAAATATCGATAACCATTAGGAATGGGTTTCAATAGAAATAATCATTGTCCTAGTTCGGTATAGCCTATTGGCTTAAGTCTTACATACAGTAATAATTATTATCAAACTGCAGCAGATAGATATTCATTTTGGGTCAATTTTTCAAATTTAACTGGCATTTGATTCATTTCATACTGCTTTAAGAGATACTGGTAGATTTGTACCAATCTCAGTTAGGCATTTAATTTGTATATGCAAAATATGTAGACAATACTTTCATAACATCCATATTCAAAATCCTCCCTTCTCATCCATCTATGTAATCATTGGTAGTGTAACTGGCATAGACCACCTTTTTAGAGAATTTGTTGTAACAATTTGTTGTTTACACCACCCTGTTGTAACCGTGTCATTTCAGTTCTTTTATAGACCTGATTTTTGTAGGGCTATACCTAAACACAGTATAATAAAGAAACTGTAATATATTCTACACAGACCAGTACATCAGATCGATTGTTTTTGTAGACAATTGGATGTTAATTATACTTAACTAATATTCAATTGAATCTATTGACACATGGAAAGAAAGGACCTACAAGCAAAAGAAAACCTGGTACCGTAGATTTCGTAGAACATAAATGTACATTTGCACGTGTATTTCACTTAAATTGGCACACCTTCCTATATAGCCGGACCACCTTTAGCAAAACCCTTTGTTCTGATCTTTTCAACCGACTGGCTCACTGTCTTGTATACAACGACAAGGACCTACGATGCATCGGAATGTTCACAATATCTTGCTGAAAAGTTCAAAACTTACCCATCCTACTCCATAGTTAAGTATCCAGTACTGTATATCCAAAAGTGCAAGAAATATCCAGAGTTATATTATGGAAGGTGGTCGGAAATCCAGGGTATTGGGTCCGACAACCGTCGGTCGTCTGTCTGTTTCCGCCCAAAATTAGCACTGACTGCGATATTCCTTTGTTCTGAGAGACCAGACGACCGATAGTAAACAAAACACTTCCGATCATGTTTAAATGCCAAATCAAGCCATAACGGTGAACATATCTCCATATCCCCCTCCAAGATGCGTCTGAAAGTGCGTAAATATCCATGTATTTATCAGTATGATAAAAAATTACGAATTTTAGCTCCCGATTTAAGACGACATTCCAGTACACAGCCCGGGACAAAGGACAAAGCAAGAACGTTTATTTTTCAGCCTGTGCTACTGTACAGCTCAGTCGCAGCGTACGCATGTTGCTGTACCCAGATGCACTCCGTCGATTTATTGGTTGGAAGAACTCTAGGCGGTAAAATTGATTCATTGAAAAATTTCTCGCAAATTAAAGGAGAGGTGTTATGGACAGTCGTTCGAAATTATCAACAATCGTACACCGGACCTTATTAATCGTTTGTTTACTGTATTTCTTCTGTAACAAAATATTTTTTGAAATTTTGAAAAACCTATTCATGTCGCCAATTTAATGTTTATTGTTTCATGGCATGTAACAATTAGGGCATAAAGTGTGCAACACAAATATTATATTAACAATGTTTAAGGGTTTATACCACATATACATGTGTGCATATATATGGAAAACAGAATTTTCCCCATTGAAAATGTCCGAAGCAAAAAAAAAAATGACAAAATTAAGTTAAAAATCACTTTATCTAGTGCCCCTTCCTTAAACCTTCACCTTCTCCTCTCCCAATCAGCTCCCATATTTTATAACTCCTAGATACCGGTACACCACTGCATCATAATGAAAAAATATACCGTAGGTTTCAACAAAAAATGTATTATATTTTTGTAATTTGTATACCGGTATTTATTAATTTTTTTTTTGAAAGTTACATTACAGGGTGGTGGTTGCGGTGGTGGAGATAATGGTAGTAATTGTGATCATGACTTAAATTGAGCCTGATTATGATTATGTTTATACGATATATTACGATTATTATTACTATTACTGTGCTATTATTTCACTAGTGTTAAGATGGCCATGGGTCACTGCGTCGTACGACGAATCCAACTCCGCTCCCTGTGAGCGATAGACGACGCGACGTCGTCTGCTGATTGTCAGTGGCAGTCTGAACCAATCGACATTAAAAACGATCCGTTGTGCGCGCGTCGTCGCGTTACGTTCTTTATAGTCGGACGCAGTGAGTTCCGGCTTTACTGTTACCGTTACTGTGTTGATACCGTACTGACAATTACTGTCTTCATCTTTTTATGTAGACCTAATAATTGATTTTTAAATCTTTATTATTAATTTAAGATGCTACATCACTATCATTGCAGTGTGATTATGGATTAAATGATGTTCAAGAAGAATTGTTAATCTAATTTTCCACAAAAACAATAAACACTAAACCGTAAAGATGACCCAGATACATACAGTCCAACCTCATGAACATCATTATTTTTCTATAGGGCTACTTTTTTAATTAAATTTTTATTATTTTATTATTTGTTTGGCATGAAAATACAAAATACATTTCATAATAAGTAAAACAAAATACAGTAGGCCTATTTACAAAAAATTATAGAATAGAATAGAAATTAATTTCAAAGAAACTAAAATCAGTGCCAAAGAATAACAAAATAGCGGCAAAATCAGCGTCGCCCAAAAAGGATGTACTATTGTGTTCAAAATCAATTAATTAAATCAAAATTAATTTATCAATTAATTTTTTAAAAATAGTCACTCAAGAAAATCTCTTTTGAAGAAATATAAAGTAGGCCTACCAGTATTTAACATAACACTAAGTATGCAAGAAAGTGAATATTCGAGCATCCAAAGGAAATAACTTTTTTTCAGGGGGAGGAACCCTAGATATCTACCAAATTATATAACACACGCCCCCTCCCCTCCCCTCTTTCACAAAAAAATGGATCCGCACCTGACTGAGAGCGTGAAGTTTGATATTTTCACACATTGTGCTGCTAGAGGGGCCTCGCTCAGCCCGGTCCCTGGCTTAAAGCCAGTACGTGTAATATGTATTAGGTGTTACGTCACTGAACAGCAAAAAAAATCTCATGAAGTCGAAACGACGTGTTCCCTTGACTACCAACAGTAGGTCAGGAGCCGTAGGTTGAAATTTTAAATGCCTATGCTTCACCCCAAAAAATGTTTTTTATACGAGACTCTCATTTATCTAACGTGAAGATAAATTAGTATTTTTTTTATTATCAAAAGTTAAAAATGGTATCGCGTCACTGGTTCCAGTAATTGGATCGAGGCTGACTTTTGAACTCATTCTCATAACAAATTTAAGACATCAAAAGAAAGAAGACGATGCGCTAAGCCGTTACCGGAATTGAAACATTCCAGCTGACGCCAATTCCGTAGACCAAACATTTATTCTAAAAAAGAAATACATTTGCAGGCGACATATTTCAAGAAAAAAAGTTTCTCCACAGTAACGTTCGTTTAAGGAGTATCTTTTAATAGCGGTTGCTGCGAGACACCTTAATACAGTTGACAAATGTAATCGTGTACCGGTGTTATTGGCTTTTGAGAATATGCGGCTATATGCCGATATTGTATCGGTACCGTACATCTTTCGTCATCCGTCGTTTATCATATATTTCAAAGCAAGGAGAAATAAGGGAGCACGGTACTTCAAAACAAGCTAAATTTTGATTTAAATTCCATGTTTCAATGTCTGTGGTCATTTCTAAACAAAAATCTCAAAAATCCACCCACCCCCCCTCC